CAATAAAAGTAGGGAACACAATTTCATGATATTCCTGGAGAAGAACTTACGTGGAGTACACTTGTCTATAGCACTCAACATGTTATTTTCCCTCTTACTGAACATAGGCCTTGAAATTGATTTGAGATGAAATCCCTTCCTCGTGCTCCCTTTATCAAGTCACCATAGGGCTAAAGACATCTCCAGCGAGGTTGTGGGAATTCATAATCAAAGCTCCTTCAAAGAGCAAAGAATACACTAGTTTATGAGCAAGAACGAAAAATTTGTGAATATGAACCAGATAATTCTTTTGGAACTTTTGGCATAATAGTAAATAGTCTTGAAGAAAGTTATTTTTGTAGGATTTTGACAATTATACAATGGATGACTAATAGGCTGTTTGGCCAAGCTTTTGGGAAGCTGAAAGTGTTTCTTTTAAGTTCTTATTTTAGTGTTTGTCCAAGCTTTTAGGGGAAAAAGGGCTTTAGCTAAGCCCAAATTGATGCCCTAATATTGGCTAAAATGCTTTTAAATTAATTATAGCCATACACAAATTGTTACTCTCCAACAGTACTTCTCCAAAATAAACACTTGTGACAATAAGCACTTCCCAAAATAAACAGTCTTTTGAAGCTTGGTTAAACAGGCTATAACTGAGAATTTCCAAAAATTAAACACTGTAGGAGAAAGATAAAGAAGTTTTGGATTTAATCCTAGTTTTCTGTGAAGAATGAGAGGGAAAAAAGAACACAATCCTCGCATTTAGCCAATATACTGGGGTTGATTGGATTCTCTAGGCAGCAGAAGTGTTCTCCGAATGTAATCAGTGCTTAGGGAGTTGCATGTAAAAGAAACTTCAGTAGGCGCAGAAAAAATAAAAAAAGGGAAAGAAAAGGTGGAGAGGCTTGGATAGAGTTTCTATTGATCCAGCCAATCAACAACATGAAGACACATGTTTTTTAACCCAAGGGTAAGCTGATCATACCACAGTAAATCTGATTTTCATTTGGTTCTTTATTTTTATTAGCTTACCAAGCTTCATAATGCAACTCCCTGTTGCTGTTACATTACTACTTTATCAATCTAGGTGTTTGTTTCTCAGCTTTCTTAGGAGTTCTCTTATATTTTTAATTTGCTGATTGTGAAGAATCAGTGATTGCAGTTTGTTAAGGACTTTTTTAAGAGTCTTTTTGTTGTAAGCAGTTTGACTACCTCAGCAAGTATTCAGTTAACTTTAAGGTTCCTTTTTCTTAAGTTAACATTTTGGTTCATATGTCTTTGGCTTTTATGGTTTTCCCGCAAAACCTCTAGGTTTTCTAGATTAACCGGATTAATAGACTTCTCCTTTTTTTTGCTCTATCAAAGTAAGACTTTGAAGTTCAACCCATCTTTGGATGTATCCATCATAAATCCAACTCCTAAGAGTCTTAAGACAGTTAAACTTGTGCTTATAAAGACTAAAGTACAAGGCAACGGCATGCTTGTTTCTTGATTGGATTTTCGCACCCATGCATAGTATTGCCCGATTCTATTTTTATCTTGAGCAAGCAGTAAAACTCTCATTGTTGTGATGAGAACTGATCACATTTATGTGTTATCAATTTGTTGTTTGGTGGGAAATTTTGTCTAGCCTATGGTTTGTTCATTATATCTAAGGATCTTGCTTGAGGCACGGGTGTCAGTGACCATTTATGAATTTTTTCATTTTCGTGGAGTAAATGTCTCTGCAATTCCTTTAGAAGTAGCTTTTGTTTTCATATGACCAATGGGCCCCCGACATAGTATACTATTTTTTCTGTACCCTTTCTGGACAGGAAAATGGAAGTTTAAAAATATGGTAGAAAGTATTTGTTGACTAGAAGTATTAATTGTCCTTGCAGGTAGGAATCTCACTGGAGGAAAGCTGGTGATTGATGTCAACTATTTGTTCTTTCATGTCCACCAAGAGACCATCGATCTTTGTAAAGAGACATCTTGCCCAGCATCCGGTGATTTCGTCATTTCCCACTCACAAGAGTTGCCTGGATTTACTCCACCTGTGAGTCAACTTTCTGATTCAATTTTGATCTATCCTTGTTATAATCCCTTGCTAATTTCGTTCTACATAAATTTTTTAAAACAACATAATCATCTATCCATTTCTTGAGCTGCTTAGTTCTTACAAGTCTTCAGACCCTAATCCTCTGTGCGTCTTTGGGAAAGGAGTGGGGTCTAGTTCTGGGATAATGTAAAGCTATGGGGCCCTGGGGCTTTGGTGTTGTGGAAACAGTGCAGCAGATGATGTGAGTTGGGTCTACGTCATAGTTTTGACCTTGCAACGAGCAAAATCTTGGTATTTAAGTGGAGAAAGGTTGAAGGGCAGGGTGGGCATTTTTTTATAATTACCTTGGTGTCGGGGCCAACTTTTATGCACCTCAATTAATCCCATGGGATACCTGCCACCTCCCTCCAATATGTACTAGGTAACTCTGTCCACTAAGGCCAGGACAGAGAGGAAGAAATCACCTAGTGGTTTTTGTCTCTGTTGAGATCTAAACCTGAGACTTCATGGTTCTCAACCCACTTCGTTGGCCACGAGGTCACACCCATCAGGGGGGCATTATCCACCAAACGTTAAGAATCGTGCGCTATGGCCCTCGGGGAGTAAAGTTATCTCAAAAGAAAAAAAAAAGCTAGTTTGAGGAATACAGGGAATACAACCTTTAGATTTGTTGTCATTTTGCTTGCCATTTTTGTAGATTTTGTTGCCTTTTTGCTTCTGTTATTGCCCTTCATCCTTTTCAGCAGGAAGCCTTCTAGAATTTAAACCACATTCAAGCCAGTGCAATATTTTTTTTTTTTGTTGATAAAAACCATCCAATATATTGTATGAAGATGCCTTTTCCAATTGCATCTACTTCATATTTATTGATTGTTCAGATTCTGATTTATGTATCATGATTAGTTGTCTATGTTTGGTGTTCCCTGTTTAAATTGGAAGAAAAGCTTCCACTGCTGCCTTTAACCATACAACAACTACGCCTCAGTCTCGAACATTAAGCATACTGAAATGTTTTATTTTTAAAATTCAGGGATCATACACTCTGACAATGAAGATGGTGGATGAAAAGAATAAGCAACTGTCATGCATAACTTTTAGCTTCAGCATCAGTTTGTTTGACGAATCCCAGGCCTTATCAGCATCTAGCTAGGTGGTCCAAGAACCTAGTGACAAATAATGGTTCTCCAGAACTGTTTCTGCTTAATGTGTAGTACTTGTATTTTGTGAAGTATTATGTGTTCTGTGGCTTTTTCTTGTACCTCTTAATTAGTACTGGTTTACTCAGAAACTCAAGAGAACTGTGTTTCTTTGTCCCTAAGTGATGCTGCTTGTCTTTTGCTATTAAGCCTGAAGGAGGTGTTTTATGTTGCATCCTTGAGGTTATGTGGCACTATTAAGAGTCTGAATAAGAGGTTTCTGGATGGATAGGATCTCTCCTCCATTTACCAGAGGTCTCGAGTTCGAGTCTTGTATATGAAAAAACTTTGTTATCTTATGTGGTGCAAATCCCAACTAGTCAAGGTCCTAATGTGGGTACCTGACACCATGTTGTGGAAAACCATAGAACACACGCCAAAGTTTGAATCATTGACGTGTTTTTCCCTTATTGAAACATCACGTGTTGTGCTCTTATCACTCCAACGTCGTGGATACCTAGATTCCACTGGATGCTTGTTTGGAGAGGGGTTGTGTAGTTTTTGAGACTAAAGTGCCCCCACTATAAATTAGTTTTCTTTATGAGAAGAGGAATATATCCAAAAGAAACTATTGATTATGTTTCTAGTTAACTTGTCAAATCAACATCATATAAGGGGTTTTGCTTTTTGGCTTTTTGACTTGTTGAGAACAGGCCATGCTCAACAAGCAAAAAGATGTTTTGAGTCACTATTATTGCTTTACATCCTCCAAACTTTCTAACTGATAAAAAGAAATTGCTTTGCATCCCTTGTGATTGTATTATTGCTTGTGGCACACCTTGTCCCCTATACCCAATTTGGTCCCATTGACACCTTCTACTTTGTCTGTCATGCGGCGGATTTAGAATTTTAATATAATGATCAATCCAATCTTTAAGTTTCTTAGCATTCAATTTATTATAACTTAAGAATCATGGGTGAAGATCTAACATAATTTTTAGTGGATTTTCGCATGTATATACTATGCTTAGCGTCAAAAATATATTGAGTTCAGATAGACATGCCGTTGAAGAATTAGATTTGCGCCCATTTTTCATGGTGAAATCATCAAAATGCTTGAGTTAATGAATTCAGGAATTGAATTACATGAGTTCAAGTTTTGGATGCTAAGATAGTTTGGTTAACTTGGTTCTGAATCAAGTATTTATACTTATTTAATGAACTTGTTAACACATATATAAGGACTGAACTAAAGATAGTGGGATGGATGAACGTAATAGTTAGTTAGTTATACTTTACATCTTTCCTTGGTTTAAACCAATCATAAAGGTCCACGTTAGACATTGTACGCGGGTGAAATTATTGAAAGGTCCTCCCCATATGGATGTGATTTCAGGACTTTACGTTTGACATCTAAGGTTCTTGACGCTATACTCATTGAATCTTGAAAATTGTGAGCTTAGATCTAGTACTAATTTGTTGAAATGGTAGTAAATTTTCACATACATATTACCTTCCACGTCAAAAACACTTGATTCAGATGAATTGTCCCGATCTTCATGGTAAAATTATCTACACATAAACCAATCATAGAGGTCCACCTCAACCATTTGTACTTAGTAAAATTACTAATAAGTCCTTGGCATATGGATATGGTCAATTTAAACCAACTTTTGAACATGTTCTTTTTTTTTCCTTACATATGTTTGTCAATTTAGTTGTCATCATTAAAAAGTTCAAAAAGTTAGTAACAAATAGCCTTTTTTGTACATTGCTTTTTCAAAGTCCCTTTCAATCCCCCTTTCATTAATACCTTCAAAATTTAGTTGTAGACAAAAGTGTTACTCAACTCTTTTCTTTGTAGAAACAAACAAAGAAAGGAAAAGAGGAGATGAAAAACATCAATGGAGGAATTCTAAGGAAAATCAAATCCCTTCCAACATTAGTTTTCCAAGTAAATCATCCAACCAAACATCTCCAAAGTCAACTAACAACAAACACACAACATGACAATAAGATGCTTTGTCAAAACATTGATCTTGCAAATGATGTTGATCATCAAGAGACTACATGTGAATATGAAACTCATCATCTTTTTCAAGAATCAAACACTATGGAGGAAAACAAACTCTTGTGTGATTTTGAATACAAGTGTCCACAAGGAGGAAAAGACGCGATCATTCTCTACACAACGAGCCTAAGAGGGATAAGGAAGACGTTTGAGGATTGCAACATGATTCGATTCCTACTAGAAAGCTTTCGTGTTGTCTACTATGAACGAGATGTATCCATGCACATCGAGTATAGAGAGGAGTTGTGGAGGATTCTTGGAGGAAGAATTGTCCCTCCAAGATTGTTTATTAAAGGTAGAGACATTGGTAGAGCTAATGAAGTTGTTGGACTTCATGAACAAGGGATTTTAAAGAAACTATTACATGACATTCCTTTAATTTCTTCAAATTTTCCATGTAATGGTTGTTGTGGGATTAGATTTGTTTTGTGTTTGAGTTGTCATGGATGTTGCAAGATCATAGATCAAGATCAAGGTAAAGATACTAATGGATATCGAATTCGATGTCCAAAATGTAACGAAAATGGATTGATCAAGTGTCCTGTTTGTAGTTAGGTGCCATCTTCTTGTAAATATAGTATCATCTTGAAGCTTCAGTAAAGTTGTTTCAGTATTACTAAGTCATAAGGTTCGAGCCATGGAGCCAATGATGTTTGTTTGAGTTAGAGTAAACTATTTGCATTACACCTTTTGGGAGTGTGGTCCTTAGAGATCTACACGAACGTGAAACGCTTCGTGCATCGAGATGTCATTTATGTTAGACTACATGTAACTAATGTTTATGGTTGACTTAGAATCAGTACAAGAGATATATAAATCTTTTAGCTAATTTAAGACTAAACATTTCTTGTGGCATTGTCCTTTTTAATTACCTTTTGTAACAGTAATGTTTGAGCCAACTTACACGTACCTTGATCATTCTACCAGACGGAATATAATCTTAATATTGGCAAAATGATTGGGCTTAACAACTAGCTGTTTGATTAAAATCAGCCCACTAAGAATCAATGAGGTGGGCTAGTGGGCTACAATCTGAACTGATTTGGCCCAATATGATGCAAATTTGAAAGAGCTTTTGCATCTTATTATTAAAAAAAATAAAAATAATGGAACAATTATCTTCCTAGTTATGGCGTAAAAATTTCACGGGGTACCTTATTTGAATAACATAGGATCGATGTTAGTCAAAAGTAAGTACAAACATAAACGATTGAAGTAGGGCAAAAATTGTTAAATTTAAGTAAACTTTAGACGAAAATGTCTCAACATCAATCATATGAAACTTCAGAACATTTGAAGTTGTTCGAAAGAGAGTAAATGTGCAAAAAATAAACTATAAAATTAAGACATAGCTTAAATGCTCATGTGTATAACCAAAATGAACTATGGATACAACTAGGAAATTACACCCAATGACCTCGAAAATTAATGGTGTTGGACTTTTTAGCCCCCGCTTGATCCATGAGCAAAAAAGGCCAAACGTTAAAAAAAAATTAACTTAAAATTTTATCCATGAAACAAGCGGGGTCGAAAGTTCAAGACTGTCCACTTCTAAGGTCATTCTCGTAAATCATCATGTGTAACCTAGTGAACAATGGATTTAAGAGACCATTCAAAGTCCAGTGGACACTTCAAGAAAATAGGCCCAATCCAAAATTTATGAACTTAATGGGCTTAATGAATAGTTAATGTGAGAATAATTCTTGTCAAAACCTTTGCCACGTGTGCATATAAAAAATAATTATTTTTAATGCAACAATAAAACTAAATAAAAAATATTCATAGCTAAAACACGAAAAAAATAAAAAAACACAATGTGTTGGAGTTCGAAACTTCTACAAGCAAGGGCGAAGGCAGTATTTCTTACAAGGTCAAATCAGAGGCAAGTTAGAATTTTTACTATAGGGTTCAAAATATGAAAAGTAAATACACGAAGAAACTCTAACAGGGCTCAACATCTATTATATATACATACAACAATTTTAATCACGTACAAATAGTGTAAGTTTCCAAATAAACACCTTAACCCTACCTGATTCCGCCATTGATTTGAATGGATCCTATAGATTAAGAAAGTTCTTTAAATATATCTAAATTGCTAGAATGTTCTTTGCATACACCAAACTAAAAACCAAAACAGTCCTTTTCAATCACTTCAAATACATTATCATATTTTTTTTTCAATTTCAAAAGAATAAAATAAAAATGAGTCAAGTCCAAGTGCATTGGTAATTCAAGCATATTTCTTAAAGTTAGGTATATTCTAATAGGACCCTAATATGATGGGAATATTTCAGATAAAGTCATGAATTTTCTCAACTTGTAGTGATCATTGCTTCACTTTAGGAAATCAATAGAAAACCACTAATTTTGGAACTTTGTTGTGAAACAAGGAAAAATCGAGTCAGAATTTAAAGCTTATAAATTTTAAATATTTAGTAAACAATTTAATTTGGGAAGAAAAAAATTATTGAGTTTTCGTGAATCACGTCACATCTTTTAAGAATATTGATGGCAAAGTGCAAATCTTTTAAAAGTGATTTTGTGTGTGTGTGGTGGGGTGGGGGTGGGTTCCCCCCTTATAAATCCTGTTCGTGATGAATATATTAATTCAGGCTGTTTTTCCTGGGGCAACATTAAGTGTATCAGGGGGTTTTAACTCCCAAGATGATAGTATATCATGAACTCTGCAGATACTTTTTCAGTTTGGCTCATATTTTATCTTATAAGCATCTCTTGAATTTACTTTCCTGGGAACTGAGTTGCAACCATGACACATTTTTGAACCTCGCTTGGAGGACAAGATGCCTCAGGTCTTGAGATGCTATGATTCCCTATGTTGCTTGCCCATAAATGCTTGGGGATTCATAGACAAATTTCCTTCATGGTTTTGCATGAGGGTTGCCCCTTCCTAAATGATCATGGGCTTTTACCTATATGCAGTATGTAGGGTTGATCACATATTGGTTGTAGGGATTATGTGTGTTCTTGCTGTAAAAATTAAAATGTGAATTAAGTTTGTGCTATTTTTGTTGCTGCTATTAATTCAGTCATTGATCAAGTTGCATACTATTTACAGGTTCGATTCCTCACCAAAATCTATCATCCGAATATTGATAAGGTTTGTTCTGTTATTCGATTCTGTTATACATAATTTCTAAGCCACAAGCTGCCTCGCTTATGTTGACCATCATTATGAAGCTTGGAAGGATATGCCTTGATATTCTCAAGTTGAACATTGAAGAAAGAATCTCTTCATGTGCACGAGGAACTAACTTGGAAGAAAGGATCTCAACTTTACAGCTAACAAAAGTAACATGGAACATCACATCACATGAGCACCATTGCAAAACTAGAAACTGAAAAATGCGGTGCACGAAATATCTCGCGTTCACACAAAAGGATTGGGTTTGTGTTGGACCACAATGGGATGCGATGTTAACAACTTACTCTGACACAAGTATCAATGACTCGAACAGTTGTAGGATTTGAGGAAGGGCCGAAACCCAAAGAAATGTGAAAGAAGGACTAGACTCCAAGGGGATGCTATGTCTGCATCCTACTCTGACACAAGTATCAATGACTAATTCAACGACTCGAATGGTTGGAATTTGAAGAAGGGTGAAAACCCAAAGAAATGTAATGTCAACAGTCTATTTTAACACAAGTAACGGTGACTAATTGTACAACTCGAACATGTAGCCTATAGGTCACAAGATCTGAGGAAGGGTTGAACCCCAAGGCGATGTGATATCCACAGTTCAAATCTGTAACCTATAGGTCACACAAATACTACACAGTTCGAACCTATAACCAATAGGTCAGACAAATACAACTTATCGTTGCTCCAAGATCTCCCCTTCAACTTACTATGCACACAACATAAATCAGATAAATCAACTTTTGAACATTCTATTTAACTTTCTTACCATCTATGGAACAAATCATCTTCAAAACAAGAGCTCTAATTAATGTATGCCAATTATGTAAGGTATGCAATGATAGTACAAAAACAGAAGTTAAAAACCATCTATTATAAGTTCAAGACAGAAGGTTGATTTACAAACTTTTACTTCCCTAAAAGACTTAACACTATCTTTACTCTAATGCAACACAAAACATCACTAACGACAGAACGAAAACTAGTTAGAAACTATCACACACTTCTTAAAATTTACAGTTGAAAAGACTCTTACACCGAGATCTCAGTCATTGCAACTGCAGGCAGTTCTTGTGCAGCCGTTGCTATCTCTATTGCCGGAGTAGTTATGAGTGGTTGTTGTTGTAAATGAGTGAAATGAAGTTCAATCTGAAGCCGCTGATGAAGAGGGGTTGATGTTTTCAAACCCTTCTTGATATCTGCCTGCAGTTCCCTGATTGGTATGGCAGCCAAAAAACTCTTGATGTAGTCTTTGCATGACTCTTTGCCTTGACAGATAATTTCTTCTACGCTCTCAGCCTTCGATGGTTCATCTGTTTCGTTCACAGCTTCACTCTCTAGAGAACCATGCGTTGCATTTGTATGAGGACCATCGCTAAGTTTTGTCTCCGCTGTGGTAGAAATAGTTTGCTGATCCACAGCAGGTTTTTCTTCTGTGGACTGTGTAGTGTCCGGCTGTTTATAGATGGTTGTTTCCTTATCAAACTTCAGAATGTAAGCTTGATTGCAGCCTTCATAGAGTCTTTCACCTAAGGTATCGATGATGTAGTAAGCTTCAGCTTCAACCTTCAGGACAAAAAAATGATCGTTCCAGCTGACGATATAGATTTGTGGTTCACGCACAGAAGCATACTGTAATCCAGCGCGGCTAATTTCATCCCAGATATTGTCGAATGACATGGCACCATGCAAGAAATCAAATCCTCCCTCATCCATCCCATCAGGGTGGAAAAAACCGACAAAGGAATTCCCTGGCACGACAGATATGGAGCGAATTTTGGCTTGAAGGACCGTCTCCAGATCAAAGTGTTTGTCAGGGAACCGTTCCCTGTATGTCTCATTTTCACAAAGTTTCCTCCATTCTAATGAACCTTCTCTAATTAAGCTATCAAACTGTGATTTAATTGGCATGAGATCGCGATTGTTCTGCAACCAATCAGCAACCACAGCCACAAGGGCTGTGCATGCACTTTCTCCAGCAGCTTGTTCACTGCGCTGGTCAATAGAAGCAAAGAACACCTGAGTTTGAAGCTTCATGTGTCCATCCCGACTTACTATCTCTTTCTGTTCCCAACAGCCAACAGCAAAATTGTCATCACCAAACTCAGATACTGAAGATCGATTAGCAGTCGAGTCTTCCTCCACCTTGTACAGCTGCTAGACAATATCAAATTGACATGTAAAAAATAATGAAGTGGCCTCAAAGTAGAAGATTTATTAGATTATTTGAGAAAGCGTCAAGCACCAATATGGACTCATTAGATGTATAAGGTAAGAAAATTACTGCCTAAGATATACGTTCTAATTCTAACTACTCTCATTTGATTCAACATACTCTAGAAATGGAAATGTTATTTGCTAAAGTGCTCTTCGTGAACTCTACATATAATTACTAGGCAAGGATGCTTTATGCAGATGTCCAAGTAGTATGAGCAACAAGATCAAAGTATAATCCTAATCCAAATTTTGGCTTTTGGATAGCCAGTACAGACAAAATTACAAAGTAGAATGTCTGTTAAAAGAGAGGCTATAGATCTTACCCCAAATGAAAGAGCTTCATCAGAACTGAGCTGCCGACGATCGAAGTCAATATCATCTCCACCTTCTTCCCCATTATCCTTCTTCAACAACGGTTCCCCC